TCTTTTACTATATACTATGCCAAAGATCAACCCTCTTGGGTTAATCCGCCTCTTTTTGAACTGACATTTTCATTGAATGCAGTCTCCCTTAATTTGATGATAGGCCGGCCTCTATTTTTATACTTTTATATATTGGTATATTTTGTGTCTTAATGTTTTTGTATGTCAACTCATTTAGCCTTGCGTGTTCCCAGTTTTGGGACACTGTTCTGGGCTCTTTATTTGTTTCCTGTATTGTTTTTTATGCAATAAAGTGATTTTATATATACAAACACACAAAAACATAAAATACGATATGATTTAAAATGAAAACGAAAACAAACTATGGAAGAAATCAAGATCCCGAGAAGATAAATATCTTGTGATGGGAATGCCTTATAGGAAATAAAAGCCAAAACAAACATAAATATAAAATCAATGGAAAAACAACTAAACAAATCAATGAAGAGCCGAATAAACAGAAAGGGAATGAACAAACAAACAAACAAACAAACAAGCAAACAAGCAAACAAGCAAACAAACAAATAAATAAACAAACAAACATGAATGTGAAGTGAATGTCAAAAAGAAATGTGAACTAACACCCACGATGTTGATGCCTTGCAATCAAACTTGATTAAAACTGCCTTAGGACTCCCAAAGTTTTGTAAAAACACACCTCTGCATTAAATATTCCAAAAAAAGTAATTAAACTTAGAATCAGATTTTTTTTTAGTAATTCGAAATCTAGATGTTCTTATTCTTACTTGTTAAACTTAAGCTTATCAAATGACAGACGCAATACACTAATAATGTTTCTTTTCTTTGATCTATTGTAAGAAATATCGTACCGAGTTTTATGCAAATATTTTAAATATGTTACCGTAATTATGAGAATGATGATAGTGTTAAAACCAACAAAAAAAAAAAAAAACTCAGACAGAGATTGGAACTTCAAAAATAATAGAAATGATAATAACAATATTTTTTTATTATTGCTGCTGTTGTTGAGAAAGGATTTGCAGAAGGATTTTGTCGGTTGCACTGGGAGGAACAAGGGTATTAGATACTCTAAAACACGATGGTTGTTTAAAAGGAGAGAGATTTATAAGTAAATTAGTTCAAATGTAATTCTGTAGCAAAAATTCCTTATCAGTCATGGAATCCGTTTATATTTTATTTACCCATGTAGTAAATCTGACTAATCAATAATTTAAGATGCTCACAGTAAGGCACTATACTAATTTTAATCAGTTTACCTTTCTGTTTAAAGGCAATTAAACCTAATATGTCTCTATTGCATTTGTTTTCAAATAATAGGACAATGAATATGCAATTGACAATTTGTGTCATTGTAATGGTGATGGGCCTGGTATCTGGTCGTTCATCCGGTCCTCCGGTCGGAGAAAATGCAGGTTTGTGCACCAGTATGACTCCACAGCACGGTAGCAATAAACCGAAAACCGACAACCCACCATTCATGATCGTAGTTAGTAGCAGCACCTTCACAAAGGATAACCCAATAACAGGTAGTATTTCATTATTAAACTTGACGGTCGGACGAAGAAATAAATATAATCAAAAGAGATTAAAAGTGAAAACACTCAATAATTAAAAACATGATGGAAAAAACTGATTGGATTCTACAGATTTTTGAATAGAAATTAAGAGAAGCAGTGTCAGAGTGAAACCTGCAATAAAATAAGAAAAACAAACAAAGCAGTAAATTAAAAAAAAAAAAAAAAAAAAAAAAAAAACGAAACGCCAATGTAACCAATTTGTGTTAAGCAGTATAAAGGGTTTCCACAGTAACCGAAAACCATAACATGGATGTGTATGTCCTATGTATACGTCATGGCCACGTGATTACATTTTGAAACTAAATTAAATAAATACAGTATTTCAACATTGTCCGTTTTCGTTTATTTTTTAATTTTTAGTCACTATTCAAAGCCCAGGCAGCACGACGTTCAAGGGACTGTTTGTACAAGCTCGAGTTTCCGATGCAGACTTTGCTAACAACAGCGCCATCGGAACATTCTCTTCGTTTAGCTCCAACACTGGTGGATTGACCTGTTCCAGCAATGCCAATGTAAGCTGAATTACTTAATAATAGTGTTACTTGTAACATCATGATTCGAGAGGTCTTTAAACTTTGGCCCAGGCCGGACACGTTCCTTCTACGTTGGTGTGGTTGGGGGCGGGGGTGGATTTCATCAACTGAAAACTTTGCTGTGTTATTAATTGGGGGTAATCTTTAGATGGTATTTGTGTTGTAGCATGCGTGGTTGTAGACACACTTAGCTTCTCATAGGCTATGACCTATATTATATCGTGCAGTAAATTCATATTACTGCATACTTCGAAAATAAGTTAATATAAATTTACCAATAAAATTAGAATCATTAACAATAACTCGACAAAACCCACAACATCAGCACACCTTAAGGCTTAAATGGTGCTGGTTTTAACTTTGTTGACCACCTAAAGCTCCTTGGGATTACATTAGGCCTACTATACTTTTAATGCATTCTTTATCTAATAGGCCTATAACAGGAGAGCAAGTTTTCCGCATTGTTCCAATAATACAAACCTCTTGTTCTCTGTTTGGAGCCTGTATAATGAATTTACCGTATTGTAGTAAAACAAACAGGGGATGCGAAGATAGGATACACTAGGTATGATATTAGGATAGTAGATATAGGATAGGATATTGAAAGAAAGTAGAAAGTATCGGGAGTCTTCAATCCAAAACATCTAATATGTTAAATTGGTGAACTATGATTATAAAAAATGTATTCTTGTAGGCCTATTTCTATTTTGCAGAGCGCCTGGGGTCATACTAGCAATGAAAACAGAGACTTGGCCAGTGCAGAGTGGACATACAGCGCAGGTTGTGATGACATTGGGCCTGTAGCATTTAGGTATGGCTTCCACTAACATTATCATAATATATAGATTCGTCTATGGCTCTGGTTGTAGAACAAGTTTTCTCAAATAAGGACGATTTTATTGTAATATACTGTATATAATTTTATTGACTCTGTACATATTTTATTGTCTCTCCTAATGGAGATTTATAAATGAATGAATGAATGTATAAACCGAATGACCCACTGTCCAAAATTGGCTCAGTGCCAGTACACCATTCGAGACGAGCATAGGGGATACCGGGTGGCTGGTCCTGACAACGAGAGGCGCTGGTAACGGTTTACCGTGTAACACAGACACATAAAGGTGGTAGGAACATCATAAAGGTGGTAGAATGTCACCGAACGATTTTTGAAAGTTTTTGAATGTTTTGTTTGTGCGTTATTATAATCTGCACTATAATTAATATAAAAAAGTAGCATTCATGCGCAGATGTTACGTTTTATAGCACACACTTCAATTTCTACAGGGCAACCGTCGTGGAAAAATATGCTGAATACTACGTTAACATCAGTTCAGAAGATTTGCGCTTTGACAATAGCACTTGTAAAGACAATGGTGCAGGTTTGTTACAAAGTCGACTTAATTTTTATTTTAAGCGAATGAGTTCGCAAAAATTTAAAGCGAGTAATTCGCAAAAATAAACGTATTTAAGAAATTTATGTTAATAGAAATAGAATAAAATTATATAGCAATTACAAAATTATAGCGTCTCAAAATGCTTGAATTAAAACCTAAAATAACTATTTCTAAAATTTAACTTTAACAAACCTAACACAGTAATCATTTAATTAATACGCCTTACTGTGCGCAAATTAATATTGTAGATAATGTAGGCAACTTGGAGTAGTGTGATTAGAGCTGGGTGGGTACTACATCTACATCAAGTGAAAAAGAGGGGTGAAGTGGAGAGGGAGGGATAAACAGAGAGAAGAATAGAGAGAGGGGAAATGAGAAAGACAACAGTGTTTTAATGTAGACCCTATCTACAAGTACACTTAGAATAATGTTTTTTTTTTCATATTTCGTTTTAGGAATGAGAGCATCGTCAATGATAATGATCGTTGCAAGCATTTTCTGCTACATGGTTCTGTTGATTTAAATGCTGGCTCACGAATGGTTAACCGTCAATATCAAGCTACATCATTATTGCACTTTACAATTACCAACATTTTAATAGTCGATATCTGGTATCTGATATAATTTAATATATGGTATACGATATACAATATATACTATATGGTATGGTCTTTATATATGGTATATATAATATATTATTCTATATGATATATAATTTAATATATGGTATATAATATATAATATTTGGTATACGATATGTAATATACAAATGCATGTTGTTAGCCATTCCTTTCTATAGAATATTTGGTAGTATACCTAATTTAGGGCTTCAGGTTGCACATCTAACCTAGTTTAATTGTTGCACAGGTTTTACAGCACTTATTATTAGAGTAGAGTATAATCTTTATACTTATTCAGATGTTCACGTAGGCCTATGCAATATAGTAATTCATTTGGTGCATTGATAAGTAGAAATGCATCGGTGATGTCAGTCAAGTTAGGGAATTACAGTTAAACAAAAAGTTTTTGAGCACAACACAGTACTGAATGATGTAGGCCTACAATTTACTGAACGGTGCCGCTACAGCCATACACAAAAAAAGTGGTTTTACTATTTATCAACGTACGTATCGCTTCACATAAGATAATAGTAGTAATAAGATATATAATCTTAAACATGCTAATACTTTTATTATTATATTATAGATATAGGCCTATATGAGTAGGAATTAAAAGCTAAATGGATATAGTGTTCTTCTAAACCTGGGTCAGCCCGCAACATTTTAGTAATTTTTTTAAACAATAACATCAACCTTCAACTAAACATAACATTTATTTGCTATAAAATAAACGCTAGATAAAACGAAGGATACTAGAAACACAAGATAGAGTTCTCCACAGAAAAATACTGTTCCACCAAAACTGTGGGAATACAGTGGGGCGCCGCGTGCGGCTGGACCTAAAAAACTTTTGCCAAACTTACATAACGGTAAATAAATAACCTCCTTTTGCGGAGGTAGAAATTGTTGCCATTATCCATAGGATACAAACAAGTAGGAATAAATAAATCAAAAGAATAAATGACACAAAAGCGCAGAATCGTATGACCCGACTCTGATTTAAGTGATAAAGTTAAAAATAAAAAATAAATAAAATATAAATTGATCTAAATGGTATATAAGTATATAAGAATAAAAAACTGAAACCAATCTTCGATAACTTCATCAATACGATATCCAGGCGATAACAATATCGTCGTCTGGATTTATATATTACTACTGTGTACGCAGTATGATAATAAAAATTATAACTTTATTTAATAAAGAACAAACAGTATCCATTTAAAATGGCACTGTGCAGAATTTTAAAAATAGAAATTTACACAAAATCAGTACTGAATATATAATATACATTAAAAGTTAAATAGAAAATCGGGACATCAAAAAGCATCACAATACAATTTAGCACATCAAAAACCTACAGTGAAAAAATATAGGCCTAACATACGAAGACTTAAAAAAGACGCGACATGAAAGAGAACAATACAACACTAACAAATATCGTTGGATATTTTTAAAATACTGTGTGCAATTTATTAATGTATAATGGACAGTTACACAAAGGCCTGCCCTTTAATACACAGAGTACTATACACAAATATGATTGGCTCGAAGTGTCTAAATCACTCAATGGATATACGCGCCAATGTTAATCCGGGTACTCAATGCGCCCGACAATCAGCAGACGGTATCGCGTCGTCTAATGCTTACAGAGAGCGGAATCGGATTCGTCGGCCGACGGTTGTACGACGCATGGAGTGCCTGGCTTTACGTTACAGTCTTTGAAAATACATTTTATTCGATCTGCGCCTAATCAGGATCAATTTTTACGATTTCAACATTTTTTGATTTTGCGTATTTTCTCACACAGTCTGATACGGAAGCGTGTTTGCTGACCACCAACTTTGCTTTTCCTTCGTCTCCAGCAATTCTTGCAATCTGATCGACATGTTTCTTTACTATATTACAAGATGACTTAGCTTCCCATACCTCTATATTGCCATTATTTTCAGTAACGAAGTCGGCAAGACCACCTTTCGTTTGGACTTCGACTTTGATCACCCTGTACCTAATCCTCAGAAATAGAAATACTTTTTTAGCGAATGCTGGTCCCTTATTGTTGATGGCAGACATCTCGAGAAAACTATCTGTAAACGATAATAAATCAAGTTATCCTATCGGCAAATGAAAAAACGGCATAAAAATTACAATAAAATTAATTTGAAATATAAGTTAAAATGACTTAACAGCAATAGTATACTATATATTTGTAGAAAATCATACTCTGTTCATGTTGACTGTATGTAGAGAGAGAAAGAAAAAGAGAAATTAATAAGTTATTTTGAATACTGTTTTTGCTAAAATTGTATTAAATTCTATTTAAAAAAACAAACTTACTTTCTATTTAGTTCTGAACTTCAATACGCATTACTTTGTTTCTTTGGAAACCTCAAATCTGCATACAAATTGGATGTTTTTGGCCCAATTTGTATTTCGACGAATTCTTCTTATCATGTTTTTGTTAAAAGTTATGCGCTCAAGTATGTCTTTGCAAAACAATAATGGCAATAAGTCATTGCCATCACGTGACTTTGAATTATTAAGTGGGGAATTTCCAATATGACGTTTAATGTTTCGATTTCCTGCACATCAAGGCATTGCACCATTTTACCAGGTATGCGTATTAGGATTGTTTTTATAGTTTTTTTTATGTCTACCAACAGCGAATAATCTCGCCACTTACATGTAATATAAGAAAAAAGTAAAATACAGTATATATAGGCCTATATATATATATATATATATATATATATATATATATATATATATATATATACACAT